TAAATGACAGTCTTCTTTATTTTTTTTTAAAGATTTTATTTGTTTATTTGAGAGAAAGAGAGAGCACAAGCGGGGTGAGGGGCAGAGGGAGAAGCAGACTCCCCATTGAGCAGGGAGCCCAATGTGGGGCTCAATCCCGGGACTCCAGGATCATGACCTGAGCTGAAGGCAGATGCTTACCTGACTGAGCCACCCAACAGTCTTCTTTAACCTAAAGAAAGGTTCTTTTCCTTTTAGACCTGAACCACTATTTGTGCCCTGATCATGGAATTATGTAGATTCCAAGTACCTACTTTAATTTTCACTTTTTATATGTAACAGAAAATATTGTAGGTGGCCTTAGGGGAAGGGAGAAAGTTTGAGTCTTATTTTTATTCCTTGCTATGCCTTAAAAATGCTCCAGGGGATGCCTCCCACTGTGTGTCCTTGAATAGTAATTGCTATTGACTACTGAATGCGTCCTATTGGCTTACCACAGTACGGAGTACTTATTTTGATTAATAGTCAACATTATGCTATATATATACGTTAGGCAATTTTAATATACATTGTAAAAACGAGGTATTTGAGACCCTGGGAGGCTAAATAATTTGTCCCTGAACTTGCGCACTTCTTTTCATTGCTTTACTCTCTCTGCCAAGCACACTTGAGGAAAGGCATGAGGACATTGATCAAGGTGTCTCTGCGGGTCCTGGCTTTGAAGCACCACCTTCGTTCCAAGCATATAGCAATGCTAGGTAAAATACAAAGTCAGAAAATGTAAAAGTCACAGCTGAGCTCATGATTTATCATCTCAGTGGCCCACAAATCAAAAGAAAATGCAAGTGATGAGTTGTGAGCTATGCTGAGGCCTCTGGAGGTGGACAGAAGGGCCAGTATGATTTCTTCTAGGCTAATAAGAGATTGAAGTCGTTCTACACTAGGTGGAGATCCAGAGCCAGCCTTATAGTTTGAAGCCAGAACATAGAGAAGGACTCGTCTGCTTCTGACCAAGGATGAGAAACCTGCTGCCCACTACTTAAGACTATAGCTTTTGATGCTAGGAAAGGCTTACATGGCAGGAAGAAAGCAGCACCGCCAGGAAACTGGGAATTGAACCAGGTCACTCACTGGCTCACTAATGTGACTGGTAATAATCCAGATGTCAGCATAATTTAATACTCGAATTACCAGTATGAAACTGATTATGTATGAGTGGTTCTGGGCACCAAATGAGCACAAAATCATTTGTAAGAGAAGGATAATGAGAGATGGGGGTTGGAGGTGTATCAAAAAGCTAAGTAAAACTAAATAAAAAATCTTCTGACTTCAAATGAACCTGCAAAGCAAAATTCCAAAGCACATGAGAAAGCCTTACACTAGGAAAGAGCCAGTGGATTTGACCATTGAGAATAAATTTTACTGGAAGAAATTAAAATATTGAAACAGCCTGGGAGAGCATATTTTGGATGCTCAAAATATAAACAAAGGATTGCCATCTGTAAAAAGGTAGAAAATCCTGAAATAAAAACAGTCAGTGATATAATTATTTATTTATTTACAAATATTTATTAAGATTATACTATGGTCCACACACTGTTACATGCCAGAGATGTAGGAATGAACCTAAGTAAATAAAAACTACATCCACATAGACAGTTTACATTCTCATAGGGAGTTTACCTTTTAGTGGTAGAAATGAAATAAGAATAGGCAGAAATCTTGGAAGTTAAAGACAGTCATTGAAATAAAATTCCCAGTAGAAAGTATAAACTCTAGACTTGACAATGACAGATTTTTTTTCATTTGGAAGCTATTATTTAGGAAATCACCTAAAATGCAGTCATGGGAAAATAAGATTTTAAAAGTGTGTGTGAGTGGAAAGAAAGAATGAGAGAGAAAGAAAACATCAGATTATGTGAAGAAATAATAGCTGAGATTATTTTAGAATTGAAGACAAGACTCCTCACGTTGAAAGGACACTCTGAGAACCTATCTGGATAAACAACAATAAAATCAATGCTTAAACACTTTGAAGTAAAACTTCAGAACATTGAGGGTAAAAAAATCTTTACCCGTCGAAGAAAAAATACAGACTAGTCCCAAAGCAAAGGCAACTAGATTGAGAGCAGACACCAAGAACAGTGTTGAGGGGGAAAAATGTCCTGTAATTTGGATTCTAGAATTTAATGCCGACATATGCCACTGACATGCTGATCAAACATAGTAATAGAATACCCAACTTTTAAAACTGAATATTTTGAGGAAAGAATGTGTGGATTTAAAAAAGAATTAAGAGGAACAGCAGCTTCTCAATGTCACCAAATTTAACTCTTGCTATAAAAAGTAATAACTAATTTCTACGTAAAGAAAGTTAAGATGACACAAAAGAAAGAAATACAAACATGCAAGGAAAGAAGAAATATAGCCAACAAATATATGCAAATTGAAAATAAAAATACCAAAGGTTGAAATTCTCATAACATCAATGTGAACAAGGATATGGAAGAATGATCACAGCTGTTCTGTTCTTTGCAAAGTCTGACAGTCCACTTGGGCCAACTGTGTGGGGTGATCTTGTAAAGCATGGAAGTGGTAAATGCCAGCTTCTGGGTGGTATTTACCTTGGGGAGGCAGAGTTTGGAACAAGAGTGGGAGTGGAGAAGGGTGAGCAAGAAGGGGCTCATCTGTATCTGTAATGTTTCATTTCTTTAAAAGGTGAAGCAGAGGTGCCAGGTGCCAGGCAGGATCTGTTAAAGCATGGTGGTGCCTACCTGGATTTTCATAGTAGTAGCCTACACATGTACCTGTGTAATGGAAATGAAAGCCACTCAGAACTTTCAGAACATGAATGTTTATGCATAGCAACAAAGTTTATAAAATAGCCAGTCTTCTGGTAATGAGCCCAGTTAAAACCCAAAGTCTTTGTCAGGGTCTCTAAGTCCCTACCTACAGACTCTGCCCCTCTGACCTCTCTCAGGTGCCCATTCATTCTAACCTAACTCTAACTCCAGCCCCATTGCATGTTTTTGTACCTCACACAAGTCTGGCTCATTTCCTCTTCTCATACCAGCAGTCCTCTTAGATTATTGTTATCTCTTTCTGATACTGGGGACAATCTTGAAAATTTTAAAATGTCTCAGATACCTTTGATGTTGCTCTTGGTCCAGTGCTCTTAGTAGATACTGGCTCCACCAGCTGATTGAAACTATGTTTTCTTGGCACTTCATGGTGTTCCACTTTAGAGTGGTTTATGCCACCATAACCCAGAGTGAGCAGTGAGCAGAACACTGCCTCGGGTGACTGGAGTTCTCATACTCCTGGCAGCTTTATGTGCTCAGGAGCAACAGGTAGCTGTGGGATTTAGGCTGAGGGAATAATTTTCCATGGACTTGTGTTCTCTTTTCTACCCTATTGATTTTTCTAGCAAGCACACATGAGGAAAGGCATGGGAACATCTGGTCAAGGTATCTCTATGGGTTCCAGCTTTGAGGTACCACCTCTGTACCAGGATGGTACATGGAAATCTTTAGGAGTTCAAAATGAATTATAATGAATCATAACCAACTTTGGATGCAGAACTGTTTTTAAATTTTTGTTTTTGTTTGAGTTTGTATTTGAGAGATGAATAAGCTAGTTCTCAGTAAGAATGAGCCTAATTTTCATTTTGGAAGTGACTCTTAAAGTTTTCCTTATTTAAAGTGTAAAAATTGATTAAGCCATGCTACTTTATCTTAAAAAGACAAAAGCAAACATCATTATTAGGTACAGTGCTAATGGGAATAGCAGTGTATGTGTGTGCACGTGCACGTGTGTGCATAGAGCGGGATTCTGGGCAAAAAGTTCTGTCTCACTGATTTTGCCCACTACTACTCATGCATTTGATAATAATCTGATGGTACTTTGAGGTTCTAAATGATGCTCCGAAACACTAGTCTAATCAGTTTTATTTCAATATCTTGTCTGACAATCATTTTGATATTATGGAACTTATTTTGGTACATTGACATTAAGTGTTCACATCTTGAAAATAATTTCACTTCATCAAAAATAGATAGTAGATTAAATATAACTTAAATGTATCCTGTCTTCATGGGTCATTTTCTTACAATTTCAGTTTAGTATTGAGCCAAGAGCTAAGCAAAACTCAGCAATATTCTTTGGATAATTGCATGTCACTAGGATTCAGCTTCATGTGTTAAAATACTTGGTGCCACACTGCATCCTGGTGACAAAAAGAACAAGTGTATCCTTGAAGAAGGTCTAACTTCCAGTCTGAGCACAGCTTAGTGGATGAAAGAATTCAACTCAGTACTCTGTTTAAAATTAGTTTTTTGAGTATTACTTTTATAATCTTGCACAATAAATGAAAACTAGATAATTCTCCAGTAGTCACAAGAAAATATATTTCTCCAACTTTTGTAATAATATAAATTATTGAAAATATTAATGAGCACCCACTCTGTGCTATGTACTGTTCTAAAGGTTTTATTTGCATTAACTCATTTAATCATCTTAGCAGGCTTGTGAAGTAGAAGCTAATGTTATCCCCAAATTACGAAAGAGGAAATTGAGGCATACACAAATTAAGTAATGTCTCTGAGGCCACACTGTGTAATGGAGCTGGTGGTAGCTTTAGTCATTTTTAAAAAAAATTTTTAAAGATTTATTTGAGAGAGTGTGTGTGTGCAGGGGTGGGGGTTAGAGGGAGAGAGAGAGAGAATCTCAAGCAGACTCCCTGCTGAGTGCAGAGCTAGAAGCCGGGGCTCCATCTCACAACCCTGAGATCATGACCTGAGCTGAAATCGAGCCAGACACTCAGCTGACTGAGCCACCCAGGTGCCTCATTAGTCATTTTTTCTTAATGGAAGACTATTGACTTTTTTTTGCACTCCCACCCATCCAAGTGTCCAACTTGTTTATTCATTTGTCTTCAAAAGGAAGTCAGCGAAACTTGCATGTCTTCATGCATTTTAATTTTTCTAACAATAAATGATCACTTATTCCTTGGATTCTTACAGGGCCTTCTACTTGGACAAGTCAAATTCACCACCAAACTCCACATCCAAAGCTGCCTATGTAGATAAGGTAAAAAGAGATGATTGCATTTATTGATGCTTTGCCCTTTACAGACCTCCCTTATTTACTTTTTCTGCTGCTGTACTCAGACAATGTGTAATTACAAATATCTGTAGTCTCCGATTCCATTACCTCCACAATGAAAATATTTTACACTCTTCATTAAACGTTATAACAGCAGTGAATTGTATGCCATCTAAAAGCATTTCTTCCGACTAAACGTGTTGGACATTACGTTCATCACTTTTTTCTGCAGCTCATGAGGCCTCTCAATGCTTTGGATGAACTTTATCGGCTGGTAGCCTCGTTTATCAGATCCAAGCGCACGGCTGCCTGCGCAAACACAGCCTGCAGCGCCTCCGGGGTGGGGCTGCTGTCCGTGTCCTCGGAGCTGTGCAACCGGCTGGGAGCCTGCCACATCATCATGTGCAACAGCGGCGTGCACAGGTATGTGGCCTGCCCTGCCTGCCTCTCTTGTGCCCACTTTCATCTGGAGGTTCTTCCTTACATTGTGGTTACAGGAAATGGTAACCAGAAGCATTCAGAGGACTCGAATGTATTCGGAATAAGCTTTGGGAAATCAGATCATGGTGACACGGTGTTTCCTGGCTTTAGTTTTATGTTCGGTGGCTATTTGTTCATACAAATGAATGCCATCCCACATTTAAATCACTGTAGCTTATCTGCCCAGAATCTTATCACCCTTCCATTTATATTACAAGATTTGTACTTTAGGCACAAACTTGTACATCGATTTTATTCACTGTAGGAACTTGTCTGGTAGGAGCTGTCAAGGAGCTAAACAAAACTTTTTTCACTGCACTTGGTGGACATTCCACCTTCGGTGGTTTGGGTTTCTATATCCATTGGTTGTGAGGTAGGCACTGCCTTGGGGTTGCTACTGTCTTTCTACTTTTGGCAAAATTAAGTCCAGAAGCCCACACAATATACGTTCTTGAAAATGGAAGGGGAAATCTTAGATGGGTCCAGTGCAGGTGGTTTGTCTTAGGCAGTTGTGCTCAGTCTGGGACACCCAACGTAGGCTTGTGAACTCATACGGTTGCATCAGCTGCAAAATGGGGGTGGAGGACCCCATGTCAAGTCCTTCCCCATAACCACGTGCTCCTCTTCTGCCACCTCACCATTTTCACAAGGAAGTGAAACCATGTAGTAAAAATAATAAAACAGAATTTGGTCCTCATTGTGATCTGAGTAGGCAAATAGTGTCCTGTCACCCATCATAGTCTCTTCTTGGAACTGGGCCAGTTAGATTTTGCGGATGGTGGTATTATTTAGTCAAGATTTACTTGGTACTTGACCTATGCAAAGGACGACAGTTTGACTGTTGGCCGTGTAACATCATAAAGCAGTGATGCTCATGTTAGAGGCATAAATACAGCATGACAGCATGAACAACAGGTAACAAAAAATAAGAAGACATAATGAGACAACAGAATAAGAACAAACAGACCTCCACTGCAAGAAAATGTAAATGATCTCAGAAAGTTACAGCCAAAAACCAAGATTCAGAAGGAAAACAGATCTCTGAGATGGGTAGACCTTTCCCTAAAGAAGGTGATGTTTGAACTGGGTTTTGATGAGTCAGGGTGAAGAGGTAAAAAGTGGGAGAAAAATAATCCAAGGCAGCAGGTTCTCATCTGTAAAATTCCATTTCAATTTGGTATACCCGAATTCTAGTTTTCAAGTCCTACACAGTGTGTTCTTGCTTACAAAGTATGGCAAGACCTTATTTCTCTGAAAGGAGCATTATGTTTTGTGGTTGACAAAATATACAAAATTTTCTCCTTTATTTTAATGGCTGTGTACTCTGTGCTCTATTGCAAGCTGTAATAAGCTTAATTGAAAATATCTGCAACCAAATGAATAAAATATTATTTCATAATTTGTTTACTAGCAGAGAAGTGATCTCTCCCTTCTGATCAACTCATGTTCACTCCTTCTGTTCCCACTTATTCATTCACTCATTTATGTATTCATTATTCATTCACTCCATAAATATGCACTGAGCACCAATTATGTGCCAGCCCTGCTCTAGTTGCTGGAGATACAGCATTGAAAAATTAAAGTCCCTCTTCTCAAATAGTGTGCATCGTATTGGGGGTAACAGATGATAGTGTAAACAAATACATATGTAATGTGGTAGATGGAATAAATAGAAAAAAGAACAGAAGTCAGGGGGGTCGAAGGTGACAGGATGGGAAGAAGGGGTAGCACCATCCAGCAAGGGATTTCATCAGAGACTTGTATGAAATGAAGGAGTGATTTATGCAAATATCTCAGAGAAAGAGCATTCGATCCTAGGGAGCAGCAGTGCAAATGTGGGAGCTCACGTGGGAGCTCAAGGAACTGCATCGAGGCCATTGTGGCCTCACCAAGTGTCATTTCCTTGATTATTGGTGTTCTTATCTTACCCCAGTGCAAGATCATAGTTGTCTGAGGACTGGATACGCTGTAATCACAAAGGGGACACTGCCGGACTTTGAAACTAAAAGCATACCCTCTTACCTCCACATTAATTTACTGGAAGTTAATGCAGTTAAATCTGCATTTAATCCTAGAACCATGACCAGGTTGTCTCAATTAGTCTCTCTGCTAGCCCATGAGCAATTTTAGAATCTGACTAATGTTACCTGGGAGAAATAGATTGATGTTTCACAGCTGTTTTATAATTACCATATTCATTGAATGGTGTGTTAGGACTGCAAGTAACATTGAAATTTCAAAGTAGTTTGACTTTTTCCATTTCTACTATTTAAAATAAATGTAGCTTTAGTTAGTTCATTTCAGAGACATTTACTGAGGTATAGGCACAAATACTCCATGGCAAATGCTGAACTTAAAGTTAATGCTATTTGAAAATGGTACAGATTTATTTTTCTATTACGCAGAATAAAATGGGAGTTTAACATTATCTTTTAATCTCTCAGTGAAGGCTATGTTTACATTTTTCATGACAATAAAATGTGCTAATTTATATTGGATTTAGAAATCTCACATAAAGACTGTTCTTAAAATAATTCTTCATAATTATAATTCAGACAGCTAGAGAGAAACCCAAGTAGATCCACACCTGCACTCAACATTAAACATGGAGGCTTACCTTCAGGTTCTGACAAAGGGGAGAAGTTCACAACGTGAATCGGAATAAATATTGCACAAACTATTTTTACCATTTACTTTTAAAATCAAGATGAGAAATGGTCAGTAATATGGGATCCACATTAGTCAGTTTCCTGCCTTTTCTGATTTTATTTGCAAAATAACAAGAGAATATAAAATATTTTTAGAGTATTGACTGATTCTGCATATGTTTGATATTAAAGAGAAGAATGTGGTTTTTCAGAATGAAAAGGCAGGTTTAATTAGCATTAATGTCTAGATGTTTTAATGCCAACCTGAATTAGATGGCAGAGCTACATACAACAGTGAATGCGAGATTAGCAGGAATAGAATTCAGGGTGAATTATTAAAATCTTCTCATAACATTTAGCCTGACTTTGTTTTTATTAAATTCTTTCCCTAGGGAGATCCTTTGTGTGTATTACAATTCTGCTGATGAATTTCCCTGCCCACACTCTCTTAACTATTCACTTATGTCAGTTAACTTCATTGCTATTGGATGGTGCAAGAATAGGACTGTCTCTTCTTAAAAACAGGTTTTTGCCTTTTAAACAATATAAACTTGATCTTAGAGGTAGTTTAACAAATGGAACGTTTTATAATTTCCTATCCTGACATGCCTTCTTTCATGTTCATTTTGTGTCATCTCTTGCAACTTCCATCAAACAACGCACAATTGAACATAATTTTATTAGTAAATATAGTTCAACAATCTGCTTTATGCTCATAACAACTCTATCTGTATTTTCCAGATGTACACATAGACTTTCTCATTATCACTTTTATTTGCTACAGAGTTAATCCAACCAGTTGCTATGCCATAGTTTACTAAATGATCACTTCAGTGGTTTATCTTCCTGGTCCATCGCCCATAATGCCTGCAGAGAGGCTGGTTTCATTATGTGGCTGTTCACATTTCAATTTTATTTTCCATTAAGTTAAAAGAAAAACAAAAGTATCCTCCAGGTAGAATTACTGTGTCAAGGAGTTTAAACCTCTGTGGTCAATAATATATATTGTTCAGGTTCTCGAAAGGCTCCTCCTCACATACAACACAACCAGAAGGTTACATAGTTGTGTAGCATTTTCATCTTTTCTTGGTCTGCAGAGGCTATTTGAATCCATTTATCTATTATGCTTCTCTCCTAGATGTACAATGATATGTCACTAGTGCTTTAGTTTATACTTCTTTGATAAACAAATACAAATATCGGAATTGAATAGTTTTTTTGCATTTCCTTTTCGACAAAGATTTATGCCATAGACTCTCTATATACCTGCTTTATAGACAGAATTGGTTCTTGTCAAATTGAACATTTTTAAAGTAGTGAATCGGCTCGTGGCTTTTCAAGTTCTCTCTTGTACTCCTGCCAGCTATTTGTTGCAGGCAATCCAAAAGCATACAAACAGGGATTCTAAATTTCCGTTTTATTTCAGACTGCAGCATCCTTCCATTCAATGTGGTATTTCATTTTGTTGTAGTTCTTTATTCCCACCCCGGCTTAATAGCCAACTGTTTTTCTTTAACCAGTATAAATCAGTATACTGCAAATGTTATAAAACCTGAATCATGAGTCTTTCTGTGTCCAAAAACAAAGATGTCGTTTTCTTCCCACTACATTAGCTTCTGCTTCCTTCGCCAGTAGGAACAAGTGGGTGGAATTTTCCAGAGGCTACCTGAAAGGATATGTGAAAGAAATTTCTAGTGAGGGCAGTAAATCTGGGATCACAGGTTTTGCCTCTAAGGACTTGTTCCAAAGAGTTTTTGTCCACATACTCTCAGTATCTTTTAATAATTGGTTTTCAGCGATGTCAGAACCTTGGTACGGCCTCGCAGGAAGGTGCGTGATGCACACACAGGCCTCGTGTCTTAACTCGCCCTGTGATGGCTTTGAACCCAAACCTTGGAGATCTACACACATAAATTACGTTTCATCTTCATGCTTTGTTGTGAGGATAAAATCTCTAACAGGAAACAATGGCCTGCATTTATAAGTAACATACCTCCCGTTCACTCCTCCAGTGGGGGTTGTGAGCAGTAGCCAGGCAGGGTTCACTGAATCCGGGATTCACCAGCACCTAGCATTAGTCAGTGTCTTGTCTTCTGATGAGAACCCTGCCCAGGTGTGAGAAGGAAACAGTCTGTGGCAAGGCCTACCTGTTCTCATTATTTAAAAACATATTGATAAACATCAAACTAGCTACCATTGCTGTATTATGGTGTCAGACTTCTTTTTTTTTTAATACATTGTAGAAATTAGTTTTAACATATATAAAGTTTTAGGAACTCAAAGGCCACATATATG